AGGAACCAAAGATGTCAGAAGATACATCGTAACATAAAAAACTCAACTCCTTGGGTCGACTCGATCAATATTAAACTATAAAATAGTTCATAGAAGAAAGATCGTAGAGGAACGCCATTACGTCATATGAAGCAAACTTCCTCCTGTTCACAGCGGATTACTGAAGGAAATGAAGAAGATCATGATAAAGAAAAAGTGATCGCATCGTACGGTTCAATCGACCTCCGGAACAAGAAACATATCAAAATGTGAGAAAAAAAACGAAGACTCTAGCAAAAGAAGGGAACAGATTGCGAAAAAGAACACGACAGTTCATTTCTTCACGCAACAAGAAAAGAAAACAGGAAAAGATAAAGCGGGAAGTGATGAACAACATGTGGAAAGTGAATAACATCTGTTAACGTTCTTCGGCGTTAGCCGAGCATACTTTTTAAGTTCATATTCCGACAGTGCATACAGGTGCCGAGCGGCAAAGGCTTATTGGAGATCGGCGAAAATTTCGATTGATAACTCTATGGCTATCGCTGCATCCAGTGCCTTTCGAAGCATAGAAAATGCCTGTTTCGTTTTCTCTTGATCAAATCAACTGACTATTTACACTGACTGGTGACTGTCGTTGGTACTCGGTACGATTTTGGTTTCATAGAGTGAGACCGGTGCAATATGGGTAGTTCGCAATTTGCCAACCGCTCCATCTCCACCCACCTTGTTCAGATACTGGTACTGCCTCGTGAATTCCTCTGGGGCAGAACTGTATGTGGAATGATCCTGGAAGTGCAACCCGTTGAGGAAGGCGAGCCAACCCTCTGCCGATTTTTCCTTGATAGCATTGCATGTTCGGACTGCCAACTAAGTGGTTCAGGGAAGTATTTTGCTGAGATATCGCCTTCTTCTAGCCTTTGTGCTAATTCAATCGCATGAAAAGGAATCAGGTTGCTTGTGGGCAGTGAGCACATAATAGTGCATCTGTTGATATAAAACTGGGGTAGTGGTAAGTGGCGCACTATCGCACACACACGTCACGGGTTCGAATCCAGGATCGATATCCGGCTAGGCCAACCAAGCCTTCCATCCCTCCGGGGTCGCTTAATTGGTACGAGACTCGTATGGGAGGCTAAAAGCACTGACTTGTACATCGGCTGGCCGCCGCAAGTCATTGAATAGGCCACATACGCACTCATTACGCCACTACGTTTGTAAATGAAGGTCGAGTGCGGGGGGGATTGATTAACGCCAAAAACCTTATCCCTCTATCTTACTCATGTTTTTTCTCAATCAACTTCTTTTCGCCTTCTGCGAAGACCCTCACTGAATGAGGCGTTTTCTGAGCTACTTCAGAACTTTCGACTTTCCACTGCCTTCGCATCAGCAACTCGTCCACTGATTTCACAGCGATCGGGATTTCTTTGTAGGTGGTTCTCTGTAACGCTCGCTCTTGGAAGCGTCGAATGATCCGATATCATTTGTTAAAGAGTACTCGACAATTCTTTGATAGCTTGAGCTGAACTT